ATAGTAGAACAAATTTACAGATGTATTCAATTACTAACACAGTGATTTCCCTAATCTTCCAAAAAATCAAGACATAAACAACAGATCAACCGGAAAGAGAGCACCAAATCCCCGGATGAACACATGGCTTTGTTTGTGATGGAACATTGAACCGAATACTGAATGGGTAGGCGTTACGCCATTGGCTGAATTCAGGTATTTAATTGTTTTCATTTTAAAGTAAAATTAATGACCTTTGAAATAAATGATGGGATGAGGGAATATAACAGAAACTATAGAATTACCAGGGAAGATTTTAGGAGCGGGGGTTGATTTTTTATGTAGTGTGCTATTTACTGCGGATCTCTATAAGTTGAAAACAACTGCAATTTTGACCTATAAACGCCATGGGACCATATATTTTTTTATAGTATTTTTTGTTAGGGCTTAGAACGAAGTTTGAAATGATGCTAAGGATTTTTCTGAAATAGTCATAGTAAAGTACTGAGAGGGCCAAAGGTTTGTATGGATTCTATAGGGAAATAATTGGTGGTCTTTTCCCTGTAACCGCATGGCTTCTAAGACTTATTTGACAGCTCGTACATGAAACAATTCGTACGAAGGACGGAACATATTGAACTTATATCGTGAATATTGGCACTCGCTGGGTGTTCAAATGCACTCGCAAGCTCGTGCATTTGAACACCCAACTTGTGCCAATATTCACCGATATAAGTTCAATAACCCTATATTATTAGATGAATCGAGGCGTTCTCCGTATTCAGAATTGTATGGAAAGCTTTAATTTAAATGTATTAACTATATTTCTTTACTTAAATTTGTATTTTTCAAAAATAAATTTTGATCAGTTACGCCATATATGGCTTTAACAGTACTTCGCTCTAAATTGTCGACGAATTTTTCCGTTATTTCCTCATCATGACAAGGAGCACATGGTGGGTGTGACCGGTCAACAGGGGGTGCTCACTCCTCCATGGCACCTGATACCACCTCTGATGTTTCGGAGGTCCGTTTTTGCTCTGTTTCTATTTTTGTATAGTTTTATTGACTTTGAAATTGAATACTGTTTGTTATCTCCACATCTTTTATGTAGTTATCTACAAGAAGACGACTTTAAAAATTCAATGAACATTTTTAATCAATTGATCAACAAACAAACAATTTGCAATGGAATAATATTCAACCCTCCCTAACACAGTTTTTTTCCCATTTATAAATACTCATTATCTATTTGGACGTTGAACATTTAAAACAAACCCACTCTTTCTTCTTTAGGACGAAAACCAAAAATTGCATTCATGACAAACAATGGTTCTACATGTATCAGTATAGGATGTGATAGACTTATAGTTTCCTTGATGTTTCTACTCACATAAATATCGAGAAATGTTTCATTTACTCACATTAACATCAATAGGCTCTAAAAAAGCTTGAAAAGTGGGAGGGTATATAGTAATCGGGATTTCCGTCCGTCCGTCCGTCCGTCTGTTACGCTTTTTCTCTTATCCGCAACTCCTCTTATACTACTGAGTGAAATTTAATGAAACTTTCACAGAATCTTTATTACATATTGCCATTGTGCACTTCCTATTTTACTTTTTTATTCGACACGTATTTTAAGTTTTCCATAGCAAAACATGGACATTGCCATTATATGTTTACCAATGAATTTACATATAGAAGCTTCTTGAAGAATTTGAAAGGACGAGTTATTCCTCTTTCCACATTACCGTTAAACAATATATATCAACACATACATTATGGGAGGCGGGGGGTATTATTAAGTGAGCTCATCGCTCACAGTACCTCTAGTTTCTTTATGTTCTTTAAATCTACCTTGTGTAATTTCAGGTACAATGTAATCGGTGAAATATAAAATGAATTGAACAAAACAAATGTTCTAATATAATTCTACTTTATAAAGGAGCAATCTGGGAAAAGTATACATTGTATTATTTTATGCAAAAAACGTCATCTGAAATTCTGGAAAACTTCCACGACAAACATTTAAAGATTTACATTAATGTTACACTTAGGTACAAGAGGATATTTAACTTCGTGAATACCATGAACAAGAAACCTTTTAGTCTCGTGTGACACTAAGAAAAATATTTCTCTCGTCAATAAACAAACCACAGTTTCATCATGACATTGACATGTTTTTTATGCAACGGGATCGGTGAATCCTGGGCGTATCTTGTTTGTGGTCCTGTCATTTGTCTGTTTGTCAAATAAACCTTGAAGTTCGCTGTAACGTTTGACCATGAAAGATAGAGACTTCATAATTATTTGGTATGCACACTCTATTTAGTCTATTACTTAAACCGTGATCGGGAGGCCCGGGTTCGATTCTCGATCGCGGCGCCGCGTCATACCTAAGACGTAAACAAAGGTAGTGACTGTTCCTTCGCCAAGCGCTCGGCACTAGAAGTGAAAGTCACGGGTCTTTCGGATATGACCTTAAAAACGTAGGTCCCGTGTCACGGTAGGCGTTGGCACGATAAAGAACCCTCACTGCTCAATGGCCCTGAGTGCCGAGTATAGGTCTAAATTTGAAGCCCTTCACCGGCATCGGTGACGTCTCCATATGAGTGAAAAATTCTCAAGAGGGACGTTAAACAATATACAATCAATCAATCAATATTACTTAAACTCTTTCAAATGACACCAAGGTTTGTGACTCTTTGAGTGTTACCTCGACTGTGACCCGTAAAATAAAAGCTAAAAGCTAAAAATAGCTTTTTCGTAACTTCGCCATAATTTTTGGACCATTAGAGATAGAAACTTCATATTTGATATGCATACTCCATTTATAAAGCGCTTGGACACACATATCTTGTTTTATAAGTATTTTAAATGAGAACAGATTGCTAACTTAGTTTCTCAACCATACTTAAAGATTTGATATTGTGATTTATTTTTGCTAAGCACATGAAGAACCATCTACTTGTACATTTTTTCTAGGATAATCAAGAACAGAGTTCACTTTCGTATATACTTTATAAAATTTAGTAGAGGTTATCCCTTCTTTACGCAAGATATCCCAATTTTCATATTCGTGTTGTCCAAAAGTAAATTTCTCAATTTTTGGAAATTTCATAATCATCGATTTTTTGGCTAAAAAAAATAAAAATTCACACGAGTACTTTGAGAACCATGACACTTTTATTTGTCTGCAGAAAAAATAACCTTGCCATAACTTTTGATTTAATGGAGTTTTAACTTTTTTTTGATTTGTGCACTCCTTTTAACAAGACCTTTCTTTGGGTATCAGGAGGGATCAGTTGCCATGGATGAGGGAGCATCCCCTGCTGACCTGTCTCAACCGCCGTGTGCTCATTGTCGTGATCATGAATAACAAAAAAATCCGTCGTCAATTCAGTGTATAAATAATGGACTAAGAATTGGTATGAAAAACGTCAGTCAGCATTTGTCTCAACGATAAATTGTATTTGCTAGCTCTTTTTGTATTTGATGATTTTTAACGAGACTTCTGATATTCTTGTTTCATCAACTTGCTTGCAAGAATTTACCTCGTTTTAAAAATTGTTTAAACTTAGAACATGCTCTTGCGTTTCGAATAAACTGAGATACAATGTAAATACACTCCGTATGCAGGTGATGAAGGTATATTACTGCATAAATAATAAAAGTTGACGATAGAAAAGTTTAAGTCGTCACGTTTATCATATAACCTGGTTGTTAGGGTACCATTATTCCATTAACGTCTTTTTCAAATACAACATCCAAGTTTAAAATAGATGTGTCAGACTTTGTGATATCTTTTATTTCTAGATATCCTGGATATATCGTATCGATGTAGGAATGGAAATTACCATTGTTAATTGACAATACGTCGTCGATATATCTGAGGGTAGAATTCTCTTTTCACACATCAAATTTTACATAAATTTTGCTGTATATGAAGACAAAAAAAAAATAGGTCTGTTAATAATGGAGCGTAATTGGTTCCCATGGAAATACCAATAGATTGTTGGAAAACATTGTCTCCACAAACCACATAGATACTGTCAATGAGAAACTCAAGCATGTTCTTGATGTCAACTTCAGAGTAATCTTTTATAGCAAATTAGAAGTCGTTAGATGTGCTAATATAATAAAAAAAATTGAGGCCTTAATCTAGGTTTTTCTTCCATTAAGAAATACCACAGACTTTTAAAAACACCCTTTTCATTACGTTTCTTTTATCAATCTGACACACTATCCAGAAAGTTTTTCAATTATGGTTTTCTGTTTTAAATATGTTTTGACTCTAAGATCATTTCTGACTTTAACGTCATTTGGTGTGAAGAAAGGACATTTAGCGTTTGTTCGTGCAATTATTATGGCCATGAAACATTGAATAAACTTTTGCAACAACACTTTTCCATTTTTATGCACCCAGATTGATATATCTAAGGTGTATATTGTCTTTGTCCTCTCTGTTTGTCTGTTGTCAACTTTTACCTTCGCAATAACTTTAAACCATGAGAGATAGAACCTTCATATATGTTATACATACTCTAAAAATTATCTCTCTCAAATGACACCAAAGTAAATGACCTTGTGACATTCACTATGACCTATATACTAAAAAAAGATTTTTCAATTCTTTACTTTAGCTCTTGAATCATGAAAGATAGAGACTTTATATATGGTATTCATACGACACTAAGTAACTTTTTTATCAAATGACCCCAAAGTCAATGACATTGAGACCTTGACAGTGACCAATACGCTAAAAATATTTAATTAATTTTGTTGTTGCAGGATGCATTGTGTACTAGCACATCAGCACATCAGCCGTAGTGTTTTGGCTGTTTTGTAATGTGTACTTCTCAATCTTTTCTATTACATGAATAGTATTATCAGGGACACTGTTTCTTTTTAAAAAGGACTTGATTTAAGCCTATATATCTTAATTGAAAAAAAAAATGAAATGTCCAGTGGCATATAACTTCAGCAGACGGATTGACATATTAAAATAACAACACCAAAGCAAAATTTTAATTCATAAACTAACGTTACATGACATTGTAAAATATATGAATCAGGAATAAAAGTAATGATAAAAGGCATTCAAAAATCTTGGGTTTAAATTAGAATGGACACAGAGTGCGAATTTAAGAAATATTTACATAAGAATCAATAATAGCTTACAGCAAGCATTAAAAGCAGAGTCTAGTATTTGAAAAATACAGAATCTGCGAAAAAATAAATAGCCCATGTCATAAAATTATCTATCTTTATTTTCTAATTACTGTGTTTAATAAACATATCGAAATGAAAAAAAAGTGTCCAATATTAAAGTCCAGAAAACAGTACAAAATTAAAGCAGAGCAAACAAGACCTTCAAAACATTAGCGGCATGAGAGGTGCCATGGAGAGTGAGCATCCCCTGTCGACCAGCCACGCCCCATGTGTGCTCATTGTCATGATAATGTATGGAATTAATGGATAGTACTAACCGCTAAACATTTTGTAAATCCAAAAAAAAAAAACCGAAAAAAAAACCATAAAAATGAACCCTTTAATTACATATATACACACTGATTTGAATCCCGTGCTAGAAGTACATACAACTAGCTTCAGTTTAACCTTTACTTTGGAATCGGATCTTCGTAGTGAAAACCATGCATTTTTAGATATAACAGTATGCATTAAATGATTTCAAAGCATCAGAGGATGATATTTCTTGTAAAATTTTTATTGATCAAAATAAAGTTCTTGATCTGATCAATATTCAAAACGTGTACTTAAAATTAGCATCAAAAGTTACCAACTAAATTGACAATTGTTCTTTACGCATATAGAATATTTCATACATACATGTATGATAATAACACAACACAAATTATATATTAACTAATGTTTGCTTAAAATTGCTGTAAAACATGAATTTTTAGCTTTCTTTATACAAAACAAAAAGCAGAATTTAACATGTAAAAAGAAAGAGTACACAATTCAGTTGTAACTTTATAATATTGGCTTAGGTGGGGAACGTCATCCTGAGGTGGTTAAGGAGAGCAGGAAGGGTAATTTTTTTCTTTGTCTTACATATACTAAAATAGTTTTTTTTAAATGTTTCCTGTTATTCCCCTGTTATTGATCATAAACCTTTAACAACTTCCAAAATATACAAATTTAAATCCTTATTTTTGTCATAAACCATTTATATAAACTTGCATAACACAAATCACATAATGTCTTCCTTGGTTAAGATCATTTTTACATTTACATATCTTACAATTAAACATTTTTCACCTCTTTTTTAAAATAAATTATGAACAGATGAAAAATATTATTCTGACTTTCTCACATTGTACAAATACAAAAATATAACCTATTTGCATTTAGCTCATTTGTCCTGTATTGATCTGCTTCATAGCGTGGTGGTTCCAATATACACGGCACCTGTCTTGATAAAAAAAATAGTTGTCATGAAAAAATAGTGATCAATGAATAGAAAAAAATTGGCATACCCTGTATGGAGATGAAAACTAGTATATTTATGTCTGTAATTCAATGAACATAATCTATGGTGTATTTAAAAAAATCATGTTACTGTAAACCAGCTTTTATTCGGGTGGGAGAAATTTTCGAGAAGTTTGAGAGAGCATTGTCATCGCGAATATCTCTCGACGCGAACTAGTTCTTAAAGTCTCTCTGTCTATTAACTGCATATCAAAAAAGGCAAGATCGCGAAAATAAATCGCCGCAAACTAGTTTTTTCCCTAGTAAATCTCAACAATGTAAATAAAATCGTCGCGAATCAAATTTGGTTTACAATTAAAGTCGTCGCGAATCAAATTTGGTTTACAAATGCAAAATCGGTTAAGCTTCGATTCTTTCCTTTCCGAATTACTTTTAACAAAAGTTACTATATTTACTCTTCCTCCTCTTGGAAAAAACGGAGTAGTATAGTTATTTTGGTGTAAAGTATTTTGGAAATGAAAGTATTAGAGCTTAGTTTACTTTTACTTATACTCTAATGCACATAGACCCACCTATTTGTACCGTTTCAAACGTAACATAACTCTTTTACTGTTGAAAGCACAAAATGCTGCAAAACACACCACTCCCATCTCCTTCAGTCCCATCCCATTAACTGGAATGTAAAATTATTTTTAAAAAAATTCAAATTATGATCAGACTCCAAGGATAGGATTCGTAAGCAAAGTTTTCTTTGAATGCACGTTTATTGAAAATATAAACAGAATTAAATTCCAAATAAATAAGTGCTTTTTAGTGATTAAATTTTAAATCATCAACGTCATAATTTCTATTAAGAATATAAAGTACCTTCTTTTTTCTTGACAATGAAATTCACATTGAAATTATTTTTCAATGATAATGACGGCAGTGAAAATGCAGCACTAGTTCCAAACAACTTTGCAGCAGTATTGTATCTGGAGTGTTTGCCAGAGCCTTGATTACTTGGAGGAGTTTGACATTTCTTTGGATTTGGATTTAATGACGGCTTCGTGTTTGGAACATTTTTATGGAACTTGGACGTTTTTTCTGCATTAAAATGATTCTTTATGGTTTCAGCATTCGCCTGATCTCGCAGCGTGCAATTGTTTCCTACTTGTTTATTGTGACCATCAAATACTTCATGAGCTTTTTGATCCTGAAGGAGACTTTTAACAGGGGATTGAGTCTTAGAATTGGCACATTTTGTTTTAGCATTTTTTATTGAATTACACACTTTTGTGCCTGCGTATCCTCCAACAAGAGCATCAAATCCTGTTGAAGCTACCACATCAAACCATTTCCCAGCATTACTAGGATTTTTCCTTAGTTCCTCAAATTGGCTAATAGATCCATGTAATCTATCCTCACCATGGATAGCAGAATCTGCTCCAGTTATTATTGCATCCATGGTTACCGCACCTGCAACTCCTCCTGCATAAGCCCCAGCGGGCCCAGCTAAGGAACCAACTGCACCACCTATTATTGCTCCAGTAGTGCGAGACGCAGATTTCATAGCATTATCTCCGCCTTCTCTGTCTCCTGCGGCGTAGTGTACGACACCTTTGACATGACCAACAACGGGAAATGCATCAGCTAAACCGCTCATATTTTTAACAAATTCACTCTGAGTTTCTTTTGCAGCTTCTACATCACCATTACATATTTCTACTGCAGATCGAAGCTGGGAAACTATAAGACACTGCTTCGTAAAATTGTCTTGAGTCTTTTTTGCCCCCTCGGAATCGCCAGACATATATTGCACAAGAGACTTTGCCTGAGAAATAATGGGTATTCCATCAACCATCTTGGAAAAATATGTTGATCTTTGATATTCCTAGAATCAACAGCTGAAAAAAAGTGTATCGGTAGTAGTTCAAGCTGAGATATCGGTCGAAAGGCTTAATAATTCCCTCGCAAAGGAGTTGGAGAAGATGTAATAAGGCTCTTGTGGATATGTGTATATGTGAGTGAGGGTGTACAAGAGAGTGTTTGTTTGTACATGTATAAGTTATTAGTTGTCTTTTTGTGCGAAATGGAAGTTACGTTATTTGCATCAAGATTAATGTCGATTGATGCCTTCATTTATAAAAATGCTCTTTGCTAGGTAATTCCCAGTTTCGTAGCGACCTTGTTTTACAGTACGATTATAATCAGAAGGAATTCTATATACAAAGCCTTCTGAAAGAAAACTTGCTTATTCTTAGTTATTTCTTTAAGTCAATATTCAATCATGCTTGGTTCATGACTATTCAATAATTACATGATGCTTTTCAAGGGAGCACTTTGTTATGCGGTGCTTTTATCGACATTTTTGTTTCTTTTATTATTCATTTATGGGATTTTTCTTAGTGTGTAAAGGAGTGTTGAATTATAAAAAAAGATAGTAAGGAGTAAATATTTGTACATTCTAATGCATAATATTAGTTTGTATATATCTTTGCATTTTCAAAAATATCAATTGTAAATAATAGGCATATTACTTGTATACTTAACAAAAAGAAAAGAAACGCATATTCAGATTAATAGCGAGCGCAGCGAGCGTCGCGAAGCGACGCTCGTCACTGCGAGCTCTTAAAGCAACGCCTGTGCGAAGAGAAAATTCGGACTACTGCACATTCATTCGATAGAATTTTTGGATGCCGTTATTTGGACCCACAATGCATCACTTGTTTAAGCTACGTTAAAGCTACATTCTCGTGAGAATAGTAGCAAAAGTTCTAAAAGTAAACATGCCCTGATTTAATGGATAAATATTGAAGATAAATAGCAAACGAAACGTTCTTCATTTATTTTCAGCACTGTTCAGGGTTCTTTGGGGGAAATTTAACTTACATACGACGTCATGTGACGTCAGAGTCTAGACGCATCAAATCTCACGTGCAGTTTGACAAACGAGCCCGATTTAAATTCTAACAAAATAAACATCTGCGCTCGCCATAACGGTCGCACCGTCAACATATTATGAGAATCTAAGTTTAAAGTTAAAATCTTATTTTATTTAAGTACTTTTAGAGTGTGTTGTGATAAAAATTTGCGAAATATTGAAAAGTCAGGTTGATATAATTTTCATAGCTCCTAAATTCAAGGGGCATAACAATATCTACAGTGCGACGTCTCAACGCTAGTGGGTTTCCAATGTACGGATGTCCTCTCAGTCTCTCGTGAATAATTTGTGTACATTTATGTTGATTTCTTCAACCAGCCATTGTAGGAGCAGTTTGTGCAGCAGTTCTGGATTGATTGTTGAAGGGGGGTTGACGGTACTTTCTGGGTGTGGTAACCCGTTGACGGACAGTTTTTGGTCTGTTATCCGTGTTCTTAGCTGGTGGAGACGACGTACGTTAAACCGCTGCAAAGCCGATAAATGTAAACTAAATGCAGTTGCAACCTCTTATTATAGCTCCGGTTATCATTCTATTTAGACCGTGTTGCGTTTATTTTTGTTAAGGCGTGATATTGCAGCATCAAAATTGTTATCAAATCTTAAGTATGGGTTTATTAGGAGTTTTTATTGTTTCTCTTAATCCAAAATATCTATGAAAAATTGAAAATAGACCCCCGATTTACAAAACATCATGGAAAACAATATTTTCATAACCATGATTATTCAAGGGAAATCATTCAGAACTTAGGTTTTAAAACCACATGTTGTCCTTTAAATATATCACAGGTATCCAATGATAAATAAAATCAGTTGTTCCACATACTTTTACCAAATTTCTTTGATAAGTAAGAAATATGCGTTTCTTTTTTTTTTTTGCTGAGTATATATTAATTATTCATGGTTGTAAAAGTAATTAAAGAATACATACCTTTAGGTTCGTCCTAAATATGTGCTTCAGGTTCTGGATTCAAACACAGATTGTTTTTATCACAAACTTTTAAGCTATAAAAACTGGATAATTTTTAGAAAATAAAAAAGTCCTTAAGCATACTTTTTGACATTGATATACTTAACGATACTTGATGATAGTTGAATTCTCCTGTTACAAACAATATTTTCCTGGTTTGCACTTCCTGTACATGTTAATAAGCTGGGATATTAGTTCAGGCATCCATGTGGGTGACATTACTTAAGTATCATGGTACACAAAGCAACAATAATTCTTGTTTTCAGAACACAATACTTTTTAAGGGATAAGCCTGAGTTATACATTGTCAAGGACAAGAAGGGTCATGTGTAAATGTTCAAAGGGTTGCATTGAATGAGAAACGTTTACTTTGGCAATTTCAAACTTTGAGAAAAAATTAGAAAATTATAGTTATCATCTATTTTACGATATACTAGTAAATTACTTAATCACATTATCATCATTAAATTCTTTAACTTTTTCCATATAAACCTGAAGGAGGACACGTGTGGAAAGTAATTGCAGACTTTACAATTTCAAAATGCAGCAGAACGTGAGATTCAATAAAATCCCACACCTTCTACAAAAGAAAACCAGAAAATGTATCTTCTATAATAATTAAAGTGCGTATGGAAGGCAGAAGAAAAATAGTTCCCATGTATCTATAGTGATGCAGACTCTAATTAGCAAAAATCCAATATATCAGTGTTTGCTCTGTGTAAGTCGACAATACTTGATGAAAGTAGAATTGAAGAATCATATACTTAGTAAAAATAAACAATTTCCTTATCAGAACTTCCTGTAGTATTCATTGGACAGAAAAACAGGAAGTTTTTTTGATAACAATTTTTGGAAATTGATATGATAATATTAAAAGTGACTTTAATCTATCTTTTATGAAATGAATATACAGATATCAAAATTAATCAATATGCTTGTAATTTGACATTTTGAAAGTCCGAACATATTCATCTTGAGCTATTTTCCCTTCCTTTTGCAATTTATACTACTTTATACTACTTAATTATCACAATGAACTGTATTTAAAATCAACACACTATTATCAAACTTTTCTCTAAATAACTTAATAACAAATAAGGAATTGATCAATTGAATTGTTTTAGCCTAATCAACATAAATAAAATATTGAATTAATTACGAATTGATGTATTGATGTATTTATTTTTATTGTCGTTATTGGTATTTCCTGTGTGAACAGAATGGTGGATCTGTGTGGTTTTTTTGTCACGTGACATGGTCATACAAATAGCAGGTGCGTGCTTTAAAAGTTACTCTACCGCTCGTACAGAACATGTAAGGAATGGAAACCAGTAAATTAGGCACACACACATATATGTATACATATACATCATATTTAATGATTAAAAATAACGTGTGTTGAAATGAATACAAATGCGTTAAATATGTAATAAACGTTCTGACGAGCAGTATTCCATACATATGAGTTGATTATTCTTTCAATACAGAATAAAGAGAATAATTAATTTATATTCGGACAAACGAAGTGAGGGAGAATATAATACATTCAAATAGAGATTGTTCTATCTGACGTATCCGTATCCGTATCGAGATATGAAACACATCTCGATCCTGATGTCTAAACCATTTAAATTACATTTTTCATCTCTGTTAGTGGTTAAATAAGCCACAGTCAAGCACTGGGAAATAGCAAATGGCAATTTTTCTATTAAAAATCCCCTTTTTTCTCTCGCTTAATATCAGCATAATTTAATTGATTATTTTCTGTATTTTTCATATACCATTACACGGTATAATAGATACCCCCTAATTAAAAGAGAAAAAATAGCCCTGAAAAACCTTGACAAGCAAAAAAAAAATACTTTAATACTATTTTGTATGTGTGTGTGTGTGTGTGGTTTTTTTTGGGGGGGGGGGGGTCGAACTTTTTTCATTGCCATACTTTATCTAACACTACCACTTACTCTTCTGTGACTGGCTCAATGTTCAATGCATATATTATGTCTATCTTTGCAAATAAAGGCCCCCCCCCCCCCCCCCCCCCCCCCCCCCCCCCCCCCCCCCCCCCTCAAAGCCAATGTCTGTGCCTCACCATATTCTACTTTCATTCTTATATATGAAATGTGGCCGAGATTGAGATCAGTTTGCATAAATCATAGAATTGAAGAGAAGGAACTGCTTCAGTGTAGCCAAGGATAAAATATCTTAAGTTTTTCAGAACTTGCTTTGTTCACTATTAACTCGATCATGTAACTTTCTTAAAAAGAAGATAATATGCAAATAGAATAGTTTAAGAGAGGAAGATACATCATAACCTAACATTTGTTTTTCTCCCCCTTTATTGACAAATGTAAAAACAATCGAGTCCTACATATGTACTGCGTTTGATCGCAACACTTTCGGAAAGTGTACAGATACCATTCTCAAGTTCTTTGAAATCCCGGATCGCATAGGCGTCGGAACCGGGGGGGGGGGGGAGGGGTGCTAGATGGAGGGGGAGTTTAGCTTCCACTACTTTATTTTGCAAAGATATACATAATATAGGCATTTAAAATTGGGGTTTTACCTTATTTTTGGTAGGTTTAGCACCCCCCCCCTCTTTTCAATTAGCGCCCCTCTATATTCAAACCGCCCCAGAATTACAAGCTATCCATTTTTTTTTCTGAAGAACTATGATCATCAGATAACGTTATAGTGAATGGCATAAAAAATGATAAAAAACATACACATCCCCCATACACATTTGTTTTGCAATGTGGTTAACTATTTCCCAGTTGATTATACTGTACAACTACATGTATTTACCATTTACAAGTTTGAGATGAAGAGGTTTAACTGTATATATAATTATATATTATTGGGGATATGTTGTGTTCTAGTAAACGTTAATTCGAGAATGAAGAATAAATACCCTAACATTGAAAAGAGAGAGAGAGAGAGAGAGAGAGAGAGAGAGAGAGAGAGAGAGAGAGAGAGAGAGAGAGAGAGAGGATGAATCTAGAAATATTTTCGAATAATTTTTTACACATTTAAAAACAAAAATCATACCTGTTTTTCTGATTTTATTTTTTAAACCTACCCCCTCCCACTAAATAGATATAATGCATAATGCGTGTACAGCAACTGATATGTTTGTATTAAACATATCACACTACATATCATTTCTTGGTGAATGAGACTAAAAACCAAACATGAAACGATGGAAATTAACCAGATGGTTTAAACATCGGGATCGAGATGCAACAATTGTTGCAACCACTATTGAAATAACGACCACTATTGAAATAATTATATCAATAGTGGTTGAGAAAGCATTTCAATAGCAAACATAGTTAGTAACCACTATTGAAATACGACCACTATTGAAATAATTATATCAATAGTGGTTGAGAGTGCATTTCAATAGCAAACATAGTTAGTAACCACTATTGAAATACGACCACTATTGATATAATTATTTCAATAGTGGTTGAGAGTGCATTTCAAGAGCCTTACATCTGCTAATATAATATTAGAGCTTTGAACATCAAAAGTAGAAACCGTTTGGTAGCAACTTAAAGAATGAATGCCTCTAAAATCTTTACTCTTTCTTTCAGCGGTAGCTTCGTCAATCATAAACTACAAATTATGATATAATATATATATATAATCTATACTTTCACTTAATTAATCTGTCTGTTTATTTGTCGTTTAACGTCCCTTGCGAGAATTGTTCCCTCATATGGAAACGCAATGAATTGCCTGTTGGGGCTGCACATTTTGTCCTTTACTCTGCAATAAGGGCCCTTGGGCAGTGAGGGATTGTTTTTGCGTCAATCAGCTCCAACATAGATGGACAAAGTATAGTGTTTCATTCGAAATAGCGGTCTCACTGTCCCTCAATGGTATTCGAACCCAAGATGTAAAGATAAACTGCTTACTTCCCGGCTCAGGTTCAGATAGATGCTCTTACTGCTGTGCCATGCGGGCGAATATATAAATACTGCATGTAGTTAAGGGTAACACAGAAATTGTTCATTCCAACTTCAGGAAAACCATTGATAACCGAAGCGCAGTAAATTTTAGATTTCATATTACAGTAACAGAGGAAATTGAAAATGTTTGCGATTTCTACTTCTGAATACATAAACATATGTTAAAGAGACTATTCTTTTTTCATATTATCTGTAGAATAAAGGTTATGGAGATAAAGAAGAGTATTCAGTGATAAAATCTATAAAACGAAACGAAATAAGAGCAGGACAAACAAGGGCCTCAAAAACATCAGAGCCTGGCTCAGAAAAGACAAACGGTGTAAATGGGAACAGTCCACTAATTGTTTTCTCTAGGCGACACTGTTAACGTTTCTTCTCATAGCGATGTCCCTAATTTTCGTTCAGAAGTGAGTGACCCCTTAAATCAAAGCACATCAACTTGTCTTTCCTTGGTTAAAATCTCGAAGTGCCATGTCAGATTCGTTTTTTGGCAAAATGCATCTGTCCGCGGGAACCCCTAAAATGAAAGTGAATGTAGGAGAATTTCAGAGTTCTCACTGGCGTTATAATGCACAAAATAATTCGGCTGATCTTCTTCATAAATTTCATTTGCCAAACTTTTTTGGTAGGAAAGATACTCCTTATCAACAAGTGTGAGGCTCAGTTCGGTACATCTGCCCAATTTTTTATGCAAGTCTGCAAATTAAGGAACTTGTAATTTTTTTCTGCACTACTTTCTTCTCCTACCGATTCTGAAAATAATTAGTGGGATATACCCAAATTAAGCCTTTCTTTATTAAGAATCATTTTAGTTTTATGGATTTCTGTTCTTGGATACATTTTATTTTATCTCCACATGTTTCATTATTTAAAAAATCCAACTAAAACTAGAGGTACTGTCAGCACTAAACAGATGCATATAGACAAACCCATCAGCAACGCAATTCTGAATTTATAGGACCCGACACAGTCCTGTTACTTTTCTTATTTCTCTTTGATTTTGTCAACGTGTATGTTTAGCTCTGGATAACCTGAAATAAGTATCAGATCCGAAAGTAATATAAATGGTTCACAATGGCGTTTTTAATAAAAATTCTGTTAAAGTACCATTAAGTTTTATTTAGTGGTATCGGAGGTGTTGCGGATAAGAGATGGCTTCTTTTTCAATATAATTCTAGAAATAATGGCATTGTACATGATTTTTGCAGGAGACCAAAAATACTAGTATATCCGCTCAAAAAGTAAAATAGGAGGTACGTGATGCGTAACAGACAGACGAAAGGATATCCTGATTTCAAAATACTCTCTCTTTTTTTCAAACAGGGATGTTACAAGGAAATATAGACATATATGCTTTTACCCACTATTAAGATCTTATTTGTATAATCTACAAAGTAGATAAAAGAAAAAAGAACCAACTTTAAAAATGTTTGGGGTTTTTCACCACCCCCTCGTCCTTTTATCAATCCCTTATCAATTACAAATTTTTTTAATCTGTCAAAATGAACGATATTTTATTCAGTATTGAGGATGAAGCTATAAGCAACCAAAGAAAACACACTTTATTGATAAAAAAAATATCCCACAACTACAAAGATAAAAAAATCATATATGAAAGTTTATACTGAAAGAAAAATGAAACGCAGGGCAGTATAAAATGCGAAGGTTGTTGACCGCATGACCAAAAATTACGAAAACTGGTCAGATGATAGCCTTGAATACTACGCTCTAAAATAAGTGTTCAGAATACTCAACCGTGAAATACATGATTCCACGAACAGAAATTACTAAAAAAAAACTGAGAAACGTGCAAATTGATGACGAGAGCTTTGTCAACGATCTTCTTGTACCATTTGATGCACTTGAGATATATGTATCGGATTTAAATATTTGTAGATAATATACATATCTTGCAATCTTGTAACAATTGATGGAAGTTCCATTTGGTCTGGTTTTTAAGTCGCCGAAGAAAGGTCAAAGGCAACACTGGGTCAATGTCCAGTCACTAAGAAAATTCCCTCCAAAGAACGTTTTAGCTGTCCATACAGAGGAAAAATGGTTCCAATCAATTTTGACAACGACGTTGACGCGTAACAGAGCCACTTTCAGATCGGATTATCTATATCGTTATCTTTTTTGTCGCCACCTTACAACCATAAAACTGCTATTATTAGAGTAAACTATTAGTATTATTGCGATCACCATAAAACTAAAAGGAATCGATTGCGTGATTTAGGTCTTTGAATTAACTGGTCAACATTACGGTGGTGTACCTTTCACAGACACATGCACATGCGCGCACCGTACGCGTTTACTTTATTTTTTCGGCGTGTTTACCCCGGCCAAATGTAGCCCGGGTTTAATAAGAGCAAACAATCATATTCATCCACTCGACTGCTCTCCTTTACAACAACCTTTTCTCATTGAACATCTTTGAGACTGAGTGGAAGATAACCTGGTCTCTCTCAACTAAGGTCTGTCTTGTTGAGAGGTTTGACTAAAAGCCTTATTTGACGGATAAGCACAGCAAACAAAATCAAGTTACTGATTCTGTAACTGATTCTGAAACTGTAAATTATTATACCCGAGGGATAATTTATCGCCTTATTTTCGCGAGAAGCATCCCTCGTGAAAAAAATACTTTCTGTTATTTTTTTATGTTGAAATCGATTCAAATTCATTTCATCAACCTTCCATTCGCAATTTTTTTTCTCGCGTTTTGATGTTGATTAGCCATTTAACGATAATAAGTAATCGCAAAATAAGGAACCTACGGTTTCCAAGGTTATTAGAAACTCCAATGTTCACTTTTGGGGGAGGTATCGTCATGTGAGTTTAATTTACTCATGAATTGTGAGATATTAATCAAATGGGATATTAGTTACATTTTCATTAAATATAATTTAAAAAGTTAGATAGGAAAACTAGAAATTATATAGGGACAAATAAAATCACTGCAGCTTAAAAGTATACATTGCCTTTCTTATAACTTTCAGTATTTTTTAGGATATAAATTAGTTTTTCAAACACTAATACATCAAAAGTTATATCAATACCAAAATAAATGAATTGGCGTGTAAGAAGCAAAATATATACATGTTCATGTAAAACAACTTAGATTTTCTATTTTACATTTCTATTTAAAAAGTCATTCAAATATATATGGCACAAAATTATTAGCAAAACATAAAGCTAATATTATTTACACTGTAAAATGCTAAGTATAGGCAACGTTTGCATCAAATGATGGCAAATGTAACATTGACGTTGTATACAATTTTTAAAAAAAAGTACAGTGTACGTTTCCCAAAAAAGTAGAATTATTATATGCGCTACTCTAAAGACAACAAATAAACGAAACTTTTAGCCATCGGAATATCTGTCGTAATCTATGATTTAGGGTGATTGAATATGCTATTAATAGTATTTAAACAATTTTATGTCAAAGTTTTTTCTGATACCTCCTCAACAAGCCTTTTGTCATTTTGCAAGATTATAACAGTGACAACATGTATCTAGCTCCGTGAAAGATACACTGCAGTACAGGTATATTTCTACGGATTTTCTATGACTTCCGCGACATATTTTCATTTTTGATAATGATTATGCATCAAAAATCTAGTTTGAATTCATGTCCCAAAATTGAATGAAATTTAATGGGATTTTTTTTTTCCTAAAAAAAATGATTCTGTTGCTAAACAGGTCCATGGTCAATTCATTGTGTAAATAGTATGAAGGATATTAAGACAAATGCATTTGATATAATAGTTTATATTGCTTGTAATCAGGTAAATTAAATATTGTCAAGTAAGGACTGAAACGTAACTCGGAATATACTTACAATCTAATTATTTTGACAGATTTCATTGTGCAATAATGTATCAATTAATTTACACCGCAAATACATTACAAAGAAAAAATAAGTAAAAAGTCTACGTATACAAATCGTTATAATTAATACAATAAAATCAAAACCTTTTATCAATAATGTGTAAAAAAAAAAAATCCACCTTAAATGATTAACAGTTTCATTACATTACAAACGATATAAACATCACAGATATCTTATCACAGTTTTCGTTTCGTTCAAAAGTAAGCAATTATGCTTTTAGAGCCATGTCACGTAATAACCATTATCATTTTTTATTTCATCATCATTTTCTGCTTTTGTGTCACATTTATCTACAAAGAAAGAAAGACAATTTAGTGATTAATTAATTTTTAAATCCTTATTCTCCTGTTTTCCAAAAGTGATTCAGGGACGTAAGATGACCAACTATTCAGAAATAAAATTAAATATTTTGTTAGAGAATCTTGTCTTTCAAACAATAGAAATACATCTGTATAAAAATGTATGGTCAAAATGAGTGCTACTGACATCTTTCCTTCCTGTCCCAGAATCAATCTTTATGTTGTTTATATCAATCGAAGAATTTTCATAACCAGGTAACTGAAATAAATTATTTACAACATTATAAAACAACACTTTTCAAACACATCTCTTTATTTTGAGATAAAAGCATGCTGGTAGTTACATACGGAAACGTAAATGGCTTTACACTTGTTGTGTTATAACTTTGTATATTGTCTTATATTTTATCGACTTATCAACATAAAAATTGTTATACCTCCTTATTTATATACATATCTTGAATTGTACTGAGATGCATTTACATAATTGAAAGCAACCTCTTTTCTTCGATAGATTTTATTGCTTTTAGTTTTATCGACTGAAATAATAAATTAATTTTCAAATATCGATCGAAAAAAAATATTTAAAATTAATAATTTATAACTCTCATAACATGTCTTGATTTTTTATTGTTATTTTTACTCGTCAAATATTTTATTAACAGATATATGCCAATACTGGTAGGTTATGTGTTAATCTGCATAACAGACACCTTTTTATTTTTACCCTCTAAAATATGACAAAAGTAAGTTTCAATCAAATTTGCCAGGTTTCAGTTCAATACACGATATGAATTTATATCTAAATACATTGTATCTTTATCTATAAAATAGAGCTTTTAAGACATCATTTTGTTTAGGAAGCAAATATTATATCCGTTGAAGCTTTGGCATATCAGTCAGGGTAAAACTTGATCGAAATAAATAAATATGAATTAATTACAGTTATCTTTCTAGAAAGACTTACCTTGCTTTTGATCTTCTTTCTTCATTGACTCCAAAAGCGATTTTATTGCATCAATCTAAAATAAATGATTATTTGTGATTTATTAAAATTCAAGGTAAACTTTTGAATTTTATTTTTGTCAAAACAACCATAAAAATAATCACTTTTTCATAGAGTTCAATTGTACAATGTATTTGGCACAGTAAGTCCTGTCATGCATGTGACACATGAATCTTAATTTCTCCAGCATTATGCAATTTTTAAACTTGGATTCATTAGGACAATTAAGTGTTGCTGCAGGGACAACAAAGGTTTTTTTTGATTATATTGCAATAATTTATTTCACCTGATGATTAGAGGGCTGTTTTTGCCCTGCTACTGCTTTGTACAGTTATGTGGACTTTAAATCTCCGTGTATTTTATTACAATGAGTGATTTAATTTTAATTTGAAATAAGGGATGGGGGACGGGGAAATTCATGTGAAAACCATAAATAATGTACATTTTTACATAGATAAATAGAAAGGTTTAAAAAACCGTATTATATTATTGGTATAAAATTGGATATTTATTTCTGTATTTAGATCATATTTTATTGTTACAAATATTAATTTTATACCACGAAAAAAGCACATCTATTTTTTGAAAAAGAAATGTGCTTGAGGGTATGAAAGACAAGACATATTCATTCCCCATCATATTTTGAGAATACGAAACATACAAAACATAGATATTTTTTATAATCAAATTAGAATATACCTGTTCATAGTTTCGTGTGACAGCTTTTCCCAGCTCTTTTATATCATCTTGTAAAACCTACAAGAGTAACACTAATTGCTCAATTATTCCATATGTTATGTAATTTGACTTCTTACCTTGTGTACAGGCAACTTATATATATATATATATATATATATATATAGGAATTCATGGGTTTCTTTTTTGGGGGGTGTGTGGTAAAACTATGTACGGTACAATGATTATTATTCCGACCAGACTCAAAATATTGCTCATTCTTTGGAAAACACGAAAATGTAAACATGTAAATAACATTTCAACAAATGACCCAGAAATGATTACTATACATTTGACCTAGGTTCTAATAAAAATTCGTCCCTAAACCTACCGTCAGCTTGTCTTTCTCCTCAAAGCTAATTTCACTAAAAATAAAATAAAGTCCTCATTACCATTTTGATTAATATATAATAGAAAGCAAAAAGGAAATAAAAGAAAATACATATAAAAATGTACAAAATTGTTCAAAAATATTAGTAGAATTTCGATTATCACATTGACATAAAACAAAACAAAATTGGAAAACGTTAAATAGAATTCAAGTACCATTAGTTCTTCAATAATTGTTTCATGGTTCCTGCCTTGTATACATGTATGAAACTAGTTGCAGTGTATAAATACAAAAACAAATGTGATTCAAATGTATCAATTGCATGTATGTTTCATCACTTATATTCTTAGGAGATTAAATTTTCATTGTTTTCGAGGTATGAATACCGGTAGACACAAATTTCATTTTAGTGTCACCACGTATTTTTAAAAGCAGAAATCCTTCTTATTCATTTTTTTTTGTGTATGTCCTGTAGAGAGTTTGCATTTTGTGAAAAAGTGAAATCTATGCACACTGTCGCCCGCGTGGCTCTAGAGTCGCGAATTAAGGAGTCAATCCTGACGTTTCGGGTTCGAATCCCACCTTGGGACGTAGATTTAGGTCCTTCGGATGAAACCGAATAAACCGAGGTCCCGTGTCGTAATAGGTGCTCACTGCTCCAATTCCCCAAGTGCGAGCAAAGGACAAAATTTGTAGCCCTCCACCGGCAAGTGGTGGCGTATCCATCTGAGCGAAAAATTCTCGAAAGGGACGTTAATCCATGAAAAACAACATATATGCACACTCAGTAAAATATCTTCTTATAAATAATTTTTTAATTAGATTGTCATATATTTTCTACTCAATTAATAGAAAACAGTCCTTTACCCTTTGATGCTCAAAGCTGCAGTGGCTTCAGCTTCAGGAGTTGTTAATAGTTTGACATCAAAATTCGTATTGTACAGGAAAACTGGAAATATTAATCAAATAAAACAAACAAATGCAAAAAAAAAAAAAAAAAAAAAAAAAAAACATTCGATGGAAAGTGTCCGTCTAATAAATGCCTTTTGCTTGTTTTTATGAGAGCATTCATAAAAATGTCATTTAATTAATATTCAAAAAAATAATTGATTTGGAATATTGAAATGTTTTAAAGATTTTGCCAATTAAATGGTAAATAAAATATGTAAAAATACTAGTAATTCAATGATTATATTTTTTCATTAAAGAACTGTTACCATTAAAATATGCACGCTTCTCACTGTAGTGGCAAATAATTGTATTAGAATAATCTTTTAGTTTTTATTTGAAATAACCTTAATTATCGATTCATAAATCTCAGAATCACCATTGCAAAGGATTTTTTTTAAATATGTTTGAAATTTTGCTTAGAGGGGATGGAAGTTATGACCATTTTCAGATTATATTGATCTCCTTTAAAGGAAGAGCACTATATGTAGATACCGAAAATTATCAAATTTTAAAACAAAAATTTTAAATTTTTCTCTGCCAAATAATAGTTGACAGCTTAAGATATCATATCGAAATAATTATTTCATATCTGGTGGTCAATTTGTTGACCCCCAGCCTCATTAAGTTAGATATTATGCTCAAACCTCGAACAAACATCGGTGAATAATTTAAACTTGATTTTTTTTCAGCATCTGTCGATTCGATTTCTCCATTCCCTAGGCATTTCATGCAACATTTTTTCATTGATCGGAAAAAATAAGGAAAAGTAAACCAAACAAACATCTGGAAAGTCATCGCCAAGAGAGCCAATAACTGCATGTGTATTGGAAATATTGTTTTAACACTATATTCTTCCAAGAAATTTCTCTGTAATCTTGACCAGTATAATTCAGACTTTTCCTGCACTTGTGAGAATGAGTAGCTGAAAAGTAAGAGATATAGATATATTGAGCTCAGCCATGACAGGTTTTCTTATGACATAATATGCATCCGATTTTTTCTCCTTGGAAATTTGAATGATATACTTTATTCAGGCTGTTTAGTTTTACAAGTGTGTTTTTTAAAGTTTTTTTTAAATACTTTAAGTCAAATTGATATACAAAATCTTTCGATAGCAAAGATTACGAGCAAACAATGAACACATTGCAAGTTTTACGTTTCTAAAAAGCAGACTTTTCCTTTGTAGAATTTGAATTTACTCTTGTTTTAGACTTTAATTGAAAATCATAAACACAATATTTGTCAATTTTTCAATAATATGTAGATCACACATTCTTGTAATATGTAAAAAAAAAAAACAACCAACAAATAAACTACGAAAAATGAACATGTATGATTTTTTACCTTTACCCGTACATATACGATTAATTATCTTTACCGTAGAAGAACACGGAACGTACATCTACAAATTTACGATCTCATCCTCTCTAATATATTACGTTTTTAATCGTGTGAGTTTGTAAAGATTATAGTTGTATAAAGAGACCTTTTAAAGACAACATAAAAAAACTCATTATCAATGTCCTAAAGATGCATTAATACTAGTATAAACAATTAGTGTATACGTTTCGAAATAAAGTTTAGCCTGTTTTAGTATTTGAAAAATGGTTCACTAACTATCATTTATTTAAGGAAAAAAAATATGCATGAGTTTATACAAAAAATCACTGCCTGATTGTTTTATGTATGTGTGAAACATATGGAGATAACCAATAGTATTCAAGGTCCAAAGTTTATAAAACAATAACAAATAGGAGAATAGTTAACACGCGCCGCTAAAACATCAGAAGTCAGGTGCCATGTAGGAGTGAGCATCCCCTGGTGACCGGTCACACCCTTCGTGTGCCATCTGCTGATTGGGAAATCCGTCGACAGTTCAGCGTGTAAATAATGACCTAACAATTATTATGAAAAAAGAATTCAGTCAGCATTGCAAATAATTCAGGTTTCTACTCTAGATATTACCTGTACATGGCGATAAGAAGATTCAGCATGAGTATTACAGCAACCATACCATAAGCAGCCTTTAGATATGGCGCTAGTGATCTTCCAAGGGCAGATGGACATCGCTCCATTACTCCACTCATGTAAATTGTTTTGTTATTTGTACAATCCGGCTCTCTCACTTTAAGTAAAGAATGACAAAATTACGCATAAACGATACTCATTATACAGAAATATATAAAATCTTGAATTGTTGAGGTCGTTACAAACCATTAAAATTGTGATTGCTTTTCTTGAGCAATTAGCGAAGAAACTGTTGAATCTCGACAATATGAATTGTGAACACTAAGCAAAAAATAAGAAACAAAACAGAACAAAAACTAACAAATAAACAAAATCAAAAAGCAATGACAGACTTATCATACCCTCAACTATTTATGTAGTTGATTAAACTAGTATGATATTTTTTATAATGGCTATTACAATGTTTGTGCGCGATTGTGATCAAATTGGATTCTGTTAATTTGCATTAATAAAAGAGTGAAAAAAAAAATGAGAAAACAATATGTACATGTTATACATAAACAGTCAGAATTCTCCCAAGATTTGAGCTTTGATATGATTTTAAACAACTCATTTTGCTTTTTAAGAATTTGTCAAAGCTTGAGGAGAAAATGAAAACAATTAATGGTATCCAACGACAAACCTTACAAAAGTAATTTTTACCCATGTCAAATTATAACTGAAATGCTTACATATATCAGTTTCCAAACTTAGTTCTCCAAACAAGATCCAAAATCCATTTTTTGTAATTTTTTCGCATTGTTCGAAGCTGAAGTTAGAGTTCTCAGAGTACAGGATGGCATAGTAAGAAACGTTGTAGCAGAATGTGATTACCATCATAATTGCCATGAACGCAAATGTATCTGAAAACTGCAGTTTTGAATATAATTACAATGCAAACCAGTAAAGATATATATTTATGTTCATATTTTCGTTTAAACATTTGACATTCATTTGAAATACACTGGATGATCCATAGATTTCCAACAATTTGTCCATAGCAATATTTTTAGCATGTATGTTTTATAATTCAATCTTCAATCTAAATAGAAACTATCTCATCTAACTAAAGAATACATTTTCAAAAATCCGACAAAGATGTGCAAAATTCGAGAATTGAATGTTTTTATTATTGTTCACGATATCTTACTCAATGTTAGTGAATATAATTTGAAACTAGACAACTACGCACCCATATGCAAGTTTCTATACTTACCATTTTTTGTATCATAACAAGCTTAGGTCCAAGTAGTTCAGAAATACAAAAAAGGTTCAACACACGAATGCACAACATGACGAATGCTATTACCAAAAATACCCTTGATGCATTTGTATACATAGACCCCTCTCCAATTTTCAAAAACATTCCACAGAAATATGTTCCCAATGATGTCCAGTCAAGAATGTTCCATTTGTCTTTTACATAGGAGAGAAACTTTTCTCGATGTATTGAAATTGCCATCTATAGATAACAAAATATGAGACAATATTCACACACTTTGTTGTCATTTTTATATACAAGACATGAATTAAAATAATATTAGTTTTTGTTAGAGCAAACCTCTTTATAAAGCAATTGAAGGCTTTTCAGAGAGACAAACATCAAAAGTAAATGTAATGTTTAAACAATCTTTCAACCATAAAATAAATAAAATAATGATGGAAAAAAAAGTTTGCAAACTTATGAGTATTTTATTAAAATGCTTTATTTTCGATACATGCACGTTTCTAGTCAGTCATTTCTACGAATTAAAATTTCGTAACCTATGGAATTTGAATATTTAAAGGTAAAAACAAACTTAAAACCGTGGTAGTAAATTCACTTTTACTATTTCTAATAATTTCAGAGAAAAAGGTGTTTTATTCCAACTAATTTCGGTTTTTACTGCTTATACCCTTTGGAGATGTCTTTTGTTTATTATGTATATGCACATGATTTCTTCATTGATATTTATTTACTGATAAAAGATAACCGAAAAAATAACAGTAAGTATATTAGTTTAAAGTAAACAATCTATTTTTGGTATTGTTCATAACACTATATCTCTGAGGATGTTAGAATTGTCAAAGATACAGATAATCTTACCTGCCTATATTTCAGTATTATATATGTAAAGAATTATTTCAAATCATAGATATAAAAAGACACATGCTAACCATTACATTGATTAATTATGACATTTTTTGGATGTATAAATATAACCCGAGGGGACGAAAACGCATAAAAGTAGAACACCCTCCTCTCCCCCGAGAATCTAGTTAGATTTTCTAATGAAGCATATCAGTATATCGAAAGTATATACAAAATCAAAAGTCAATTAAACAATACTAAATAAGAATATAGCAAATTCGGACCTCCAAATAATCGAAGATGGTATTAGGTGCCATGTAAAAGTAAACATTCCCTGCCGATCGGTCACATCCGCCGTGTGCTCTTAGTCATAATCGGGAAATAACGGAAAATCCGTCGTCAATTAAGTGTAAAAATAATGAACTAACGATACGGATAAAACATTCAATCAGCATTTGACTCAAAGATAAATTGTATTTGCTGACAACTTCATTGTATCTACCATAGATACTACGAAAACATTACTTTAAATTAGGCAGCTAAAATCCATGTTCTATCAACTAGTTTGTCAATAATTTTCCTTGTTTTAGAAATTGTTCATACGCAGACCATGCTCTTGCGTACCGAATCAACGGAGATATATAAACGAGTTGCAGGTGATGAAGTTATAATTTTTAAAAAGTAAGAGGAGTTGACGATAGCAAAAGTTAATGATATGTCGTTCATCATAGACTAAAAGCGATAAAACCTGTCTACTTGATTTTATATAAAGAGGCCGTATGGTGATGTCATAATGCACTCCTATTTTAGACTCATTGGAACAAGTATAATAAACAGTGGAAGCAAATCATTTTAAGTAGTTTTGTATTTTTCCGGAGAAAAGGCACACTGGTGTGGTCGTTCGGAAGGGGATGGTCACTCCTCCATGGCACTTGATCTCACGTCTGATGTTTTGGAGGTCATTGTTTGTTCATCTCCGTTTTTGTATTGTTTAAAGGACTCTTGATTTTGAATAGTCTTCTCTATCTCCATATACAATGTATTTGATCAGTAATACTTGTATGCATTCCCAAAAAAGTTTGTTTTTGACAAACATTTATATTGATACTAGGTAAACTTGTTCCTATGTTAAGGAAACATAGCTACAATTAAGTTGCACAATACAGCTTTTCTTGAAATACGTGTGTGAGATTGGGGGATTAGTGTTTTTTAACCTAACCTAAGGGTAACTTCGGGTAAGTGGAAGGAAAAAAAACAGGAAATTTGGTCAAGTAAACGATTTATCAAGAGATACCTTCGCGCATAAAAACCTGAAAGGGAAATATAAAGATAAATTTTGAAAGCAGATCAATGTTTAAGGCACCTGTATTAATTCGTATTGATGACATAAAAATAAACATAACAAGAAATGTATCAACAAAAATATTTTTTCTTCATGTTTTGCAATTGTTCATCATAATTCATTTAGATTGAAAAGCTTAGTTTTTTACGCTGTAAATTGAAATGGAGACAAAATAACAAATCATAAAAATAAATCTCGCCTATGTAAGCAGTGGGCATCTCAATACGAACTAGTGCTAATTGTAACGGGGAC